TGCGTGATGAGGTGTCCGAAGGGCAGGACCTTGGACCGCTTAGGGTCCCTTCCTGGAAATGAAAGAATCATACAGCAACCTCATCACGCTCCAGATGAGGACTGGGATAGATACCCAGCAGCCCGTGTAAAAAGCGTAAAGAGCTGTCAAGTAGTCATGACGCCTCTGGATCTTGTGGCCTGCCATGTAAATATTCTGGAAGAGAACTGTGTCGATGAACCAGAGGTCGTCAGGCAAGAAGGTCCTGGTGGCGAATGTCTGACCACCGGCATGATGGCCTGTCAAGGAGACAGCCATGTCAGAAAATGAAGGCCTATGCAGCCTCGGGTATGTCTTTGTAAGCTTAGGTGGACACCGGTGTGGGCACCGGCAAGCACGGGCCAGAGTGTCAACTGTGGTGACAATCTCATGGCCGTCCAGTGTAGTGATCATCTCCGCGGTAGATCGTGGCGAGGGCCGGAGATGCTGAAAGAATAGCCGCACCAGTCGCGGGTACACTAAGCCGGTGACTAGGGCAAGGATGGCTGAGAGGCCCTGCTGCATGATATCCTGATAGCCAGACCGGGTCAGGATAGACTCGGAGAAGTACTCAGTATCGAAGTACGACTCCTGAGCCACCGTCATGGCTGCATATCTCGGCAGCAACTGGTCACGGCGCTGAGCCGGTAGAGGTGGCTGCGGTGATGGCATGGCGGCTGCATTTGCCTAATGGCGCACAGGAGAAGGTGATGGTGTGAAGGCTGAAGGAGCCTGGGATGTAGATGGCATATGGTCAGCTCCCTCCTCAGCCTCGTGGGATGGGGACTGAGGGGGAGTAGCCTGTGCGGGCTCCTCCTGAGCATGAGATGGCTCTGCAACCATCTCTATCCTGGGCCGTATATGTCTGCGGGGTCGCTGTGGCCCCGAAGATCTCCTGGCTGTACTCTTGTACCGCGGAGGCATGATCTGTAAAAAGACAAGAAAATTTCAATATAAGTCAGTGCCAGATATAAGAATTTAAGTGCATAATAGAAACATGTATGTCAAATAAGATAGACAAAATATGGATGACATGAATCTATGATAATAATGAAATGTGAGTCATGCTAAGCAGTGTAGGTATGAAATGCATTCAATGTGGAATATCACAGGCATTGTGCATATAAAGATAGCATGAAGACAACATGAGATGAATGGAGTGTGTACGTGTGATCTGTGAAAGTTCGATCGATCGAACTTAAGTTCGATCGATCACCGAAAATTTTCGATCGATCGAAGTGAAAAAGTTCAAAAGTTGGATCGATCGAAGTGAATTGGATCAATCCAACACTTGGATCGATCGAAGCATGAAAGTGCACAAAATTGGATCGATCGAAGGTAGTGAAATGAAGTTCACTACTTCGATCGATCGAAGTACAAGTTCGATCGATCAAACTGCACGAATGCTGAATCTGAAAAGTCGCACATCTGTGAGATCTAGAGCACGGGGCCCACACAAACGTGTTTGTGGGCCCATCTACACACCAAACATCCAATCCTCAACACCCAAACAGTCCCCAAATGCCACAAATCACATCACAATCCCCAATTTGGTTCGGCCGAATGGATATGTATATGTATATCATGAAACAGGAAATTTAAGCTTCAATAATGGACGATTTACACATTTATAACATGATTCGACATAGAAAATTAATAACATGCATCAATTTAAGCTTGGAATCAAGAAAATTGCATTCGGTTTACCTCTAAACCGAGAGAGATGAGATGAGAGAAAGGTGTGAAGCCGCGGGGAAAATGAGACTTGAGTTGGCCAGAATTTGCTCGCCGGAGATGGGGAAGATGATTGGGAATTGGGTTTTTTGCCGGATTAGGATGAGATTAAGAGAAGAGGGAGACTAGGGTTTCGTTTCCTTTTGAAGTTGGATCGATCCGAAGTGATCGATCCAACTCGGTTATATTTTAAAAACATGATATGCAGAGTTCGATCGATCGAAGATGGAGTTCGATCGATCGAACTTAGGTCTCCACTCTTAATGGCCTTCTTTGAAATTTTGGATTTTTTTTTTTTTTTAAATGAATTTTGAAAAATCAAAGGAAATCAGATTAATGAGATGCAAATTTCGATCGATCGAGGAAAGATTTCGATCGATCGAAGAGGATAAAGAATGTACAAGTTTAAGGGTTCAAGAGTTGACGCGTGTTGGAACCTTAGATCGATCGAACTTAGAATTCGATCGATCGAACATGAAAAATTTTGAAAATTCCTGAGAGCATGCATTTTGGAATTTGGATGCAGGTCCAAAATTTTTCTAAGTGTTGGAACTCATGATCGATCGAACCACATGTTGGATCGATCGAAAGGTAGTTCGATCGATCGAAATGGTTTACGATCGAACGAACTTTTGAAATTTTGGAGATCCCGAGAGCATGCATTTTGGAATTTGGATGCAGGCCCAAAATTTTTCTAAGTGTTGGGTGCAAAATGAGAGCTGGATCGATCGAGTCCATAGTTGGATCGATCGAACCAAAGTTCGATCGATCGAACCAAAACTTGGATCGATTGAAATTATGCCTAAATGCTCAAAATGACTTGAATGCTCATGCAATCCCTTACTCAGTTCCTTCCAATGTATATGAACCACAAAAACAGTATTTAGACTTCGTAAGAATCAAAATGCAAGATAGAAATGAGGGAGGAATAGGGTTTTGACATCCTACGAATTTCGGTGCTAGTCTTTAATGTCTCTAGCAAGACCTTGGGTTCTTTTAACCCGGATCAAAGATCTTGCAATGCATCCCCTCCTTTTTAGGATGAGAGATGTTTCGAGTCACTCCCAACAAATGGTTCTTAGAAGAACTTATTGGGGTAAACTCAAAAGACGTCTTGAGTTCCTTGTCAAAACTTTCCTTGGGCTTCCACGCCCTTTCACAACAAGAGTTCGAAATCACTTTTCTGGCATGCAATGCTGAAGATGAAGATGAAGGCTTTGAAACATTGTTTATGCACAAAAGCTCATTCCTTTCACAAGCAAGATCATGATATTCCTCTACCACATTAACATCTTCCTCATATTTGTCAAATGGATTGGGTGTGGGGTTAAAGATGTTCAACTTCACTCTCATGTGCCCAAAAGAAATCTTCATTATCCCCGTCCTACAATTTATGTTGGCATTTGAGGTTGCCAAGAAAGGACGGCCAAGGATAACCGGAATTTGGTTCTTGGGATTGGGCACCGGTTTCGTGTCAATGACGACAAAGTCAACCGGGAAGAAGAACTTATCAATCTTAATCAACACATCCTCAATTATCCCCCTAGGCTTCTTAATGGATCGGTCGGCAAGTTGTAAAACCACCGATGTCGGTTTCAATTCACTTAGGCCCAATTTGACATAAACCGAATAGGGAAGAAGGTTAACACTAGCCCCTAAGTCAAGAAGTGCCCAGTTGATGACATGTTCACCAATGACACAAGATGTTGTAGGTGCACCGGGGTCCTTAAACTTTAGCAAAGTGTTGTGTTGTAGAATGGAACTCATTTGTTCGGTTAAGACCACTTTTTTTGATGTTTGGCTCTTGTTCTTCCGCTTTTGGGTGCATAAGTCCTTCAAGAATTTGGTATAAGCCAAAATTTGCTTAATGCATCCAAAAGTGGAAGATTGACTGTGACTTGCCTAAACATATCCATTATCTCATTGTTCTTGGTCTTTTGCCTTTCTTTTGAAATGGACCCTTTCAAGGCGTCCGGAAATGGAGCTTTTTCAACAACTCTTTCAGCATTTTCTTTCAAAGAATTTTCAACATTGGACTTGTTCGATTCATTGGATTTCAAATCACTTTTCAAAGAAGAATCATGAATAACATTTTTCAAAGAACTTTTCTCAAATACATTTTTCAACACTGTTTTCAATGAATCTCTTTGGAAATCATCTTTCAACTCACAATTTGAGGGCTTCTCATTCTCAAGATCATGCACATGCAATGAAGGAGGAATAGTGTGTGGAACGGGACGGGTGACAACTTGAGGTTGTACCGGTTCACTCTCTTCATTAGGCATTCTAACTTGATTGTCTAGTACCCTACCACTTCTCAAGGTTGTTACCGCATTGACATGCTCAACATTATGCCCTTCCAATAAGGATTTGGTTTCTACAACACATTGTTGTTTGATTGGGCATTCATGTGCATCTTTCCCTTCTCTCTAGCATTAAGTGTTTCAGCTATTTGCCCTACTTGGGTATCTAGCTTGGCAATTGATTGAGAATGAGAATGCAACAATTTAGTATTTGCTTCTAGAGTGCCCAAAGCATTTAAAACATTTTCCTCAAAAGCGGAACCTCTAGAATTTCCTTGAGAATATGATTGGTTAGGAAAATGAGAATTAGCAAATTGATTTCCTTGTAAGTTATATGGTCTTGAACCTTGGGATCCTTGGTTTTGAAGTGGAGGTGGAATGTATTTCCCTTGAAAACCGCCTTGGGAAGAGTTTGAGCCCTCCCCTTGGTTTTTCCAAGAAAAATTAGGATGATTCCTCCAACCGAGATTGTAATGGTTACCATAAGGATTGTTCCCTTGGTTCACAAATGTTGCATTAACTTGCTCAATGGGTTCATTTTGAATTTGTCCATGAGGACAATTAGAAGTAGAATGAAGAACACTAGAACAAGTCATACATGATTCATTTTGAGCTCTAGGAGAATGGTTAGGAAAGGAAGGCACTTGATTCGCCAAGTTTTGATTGATCAATTGATCAAACTTTTGAGATAAAGATTTCATCTCGGCGGTTATATCATTTGAGTGGTCAACTTGATGCAAGCCAACACTCTTCCTACCTTGAGAATTTCTACCATTCCTAGATGACAATGTTCTATGCAAAGAGTTTTCACTCATGCTCTCATAAAGACGCCACACGTCTTCCTCTTGCCGGTCTATATAAGAACATCCCATTGAAGCATCAACCATGCCTTTATAATTGTCCGATAAGCTTTCAAAGAAGAATTGGACCAATTGCCATTTAGGCATGTGATGGTGAGGACATTTCCTAAACAATTCATTGAAGCGTTCCCATGCCTCATGGAAAGTTTCTCCCTCCCCATGTATGAATTCCCTAATTGCGGTTATCATAGCATTGGTCTTCGAAACCGGATAGTACTTTTTCAAAAATTCTTGTTGCATTTCTGCCCAAGAAGTTATAGAAAAAGGCCTAAGGTTGTTAAACCAATACTTCGCCTTATCTTTAAGGGTGAATGGAAAAAGTTTCAGCCTTAAAACTTCTTCCGGCATGTCCGTGTATTGAACGGTAGAACAAACTTCAAGAAACTCATCCAAATGCTTGTAAGGTTCTTCACTAGGAAGTCCATGAAAGTTAGGTAGCATTTGGATAGTTTGTGCTTTAATCTCATAATGGTGTGCTCTAAATGGTGGCAATTGAATGCATGTGGGTGCATTATACTCATTAGGCACATAGTGATCTCTCAGTGCGAGTGGTGGATTAGCAACTTGAAATGCAACATGGACACCTTGGTTATATTGAGCTTGATTAATGCTGGGGGGTTGTGGTGCATACATTGGCCTTGGAATTCTCATTGGAATTTGGCCTTGTTGTTGAGGAGGTTGATGAATGTATTGCCTAGGCATGCCTAATGGAACTTGCATATTATCATTTTGCACATTAGGGTGAAGGATGCCTTGTTGATCTATGTGACCAAGGTCTTCAACATGATCATCATTGAGAGCGTCCATTGGTAGATTGGTTCTATGTGAACTTCCTCTTCCCCTTGGATTCCTAATAGTGGATTCTAAATGCAAATCAAGAGGGACAAGAGTAGGTCTCAATGAACGATGACCATGCATGCACAATGCAACACGAATAAGTAACTTTTTCAACAATGCAATTAAACTTCACAACCACAATTTTCAAATGCAATGTATGTCAAATAAATGCCTCCACGTGGGCCCCCGATTTAACTAAGGAGATTGAGTAAGAAGGTCTCACAATAGTCCTTTAGCACTTCAACTCCAAAATTAAAAGCTTAGCTTAGCAATTTTACTTAGCAATTTTTCATTTTAAGCATTTTTCCTTTGCTTTGCTTTGCTCCTTAGCTTGGAATTACTTTGCTAGCTCCTTGCTCAATGCACTTTGTTAATGAAGAACAAACTTAATAAGTAATCAAAAATAGAAAATAAAAAGAAAGTAAAGACACGATCAAAAGAGTACTAATCCTAATTGAATTTCACAATTCGACGTTGCCAATTTAAAATCCCCGGCAACGGTGCCAAAAACTGACCGGGTCCTCTTTTACAAGGGTCGCGATACCAAGTCAAGCTTGAAAGTTGTGTGTGAATTTAGGAGGTGGCCAAGTTTTACATTTATAAAAAGCCACTACTACCTTTCTCTATATAAAATATAGATAGGGCGAGTAGGGATCGTCCCAAGGGATTTGATGGTGTATCGAATTGTGAAACTATGGTAATTAGGGTTAGTAGGTCGAGTGATCACACAATTGGTTGGTTGGTTGATTAAGCTAAATTGAATTCAACTAAATAAAATAATATGAGGTAAACAAGAGAGAGAGAGGTCTTGGGGTGTAGAGATCACAACCAAGCAATACTTTTCTATACTACTAACAAGTGATCAATTGTGGGTTATGGATGTGTTGCAATATGATAAGGGTGTGTGTGCATTAGGTTGATTCAATTGGCAAGGATGACAAATCAAGCAAGTATTGTCTAAACATCATGTGAAGAGCACAATATATCTAAGCAATAGAGCATATATTGTCTAGACAACATGGGGATAGCACAATAGATCAAAACAAGTCATTAATCATTCATTAAGCTCACAATCCACATGCAACACAATATTAGAGGAATATGCCATTTGGACTCACAAGTCTGGAACATCAAACATCAAGAGTAGATTGTCCTCCCATCTAACATTATACTACCACTACACTAAATCTACACTACTAGCATGAAAATAAAGCTATCTAGACTAGGGGAGAGGCACAAACCATCAAGAATAGGCATAAACCATCAAATGAACCAAAATAGCATTCATTAAGCATATCATCTTGATAATCTCTAGATCTATAGCATCAATACACATAGACATGCATCAAAAACACTAAATCTAGAGATAAGCACATGAATATCCTACTCTAGCATACATAGACATATGGATAGAATAGAATAGTCAATTGGAAGCATTAAACCATACAAACTATGAAATAATCAAGATCTATATATACATGAATATCAAGATGTATCATACAACACTAATCCCTCAATAATACACAATATTAGAGTATAGAAAGCATGCTTGGGGCTAACTCTAGCCCCAAGAAGATGTCTAGCCACTCATGGTAGTGATGATCCAACCCTCAAGGGCTAACTCCATGGCTGCTCCTTGTTGGTGAAGATCTCCTCCAATGGTTGCTCTAGCTTCCTCCCTTCTTCCTCTCCAAGAATAGCCTCCAAGATGATTTTCAATGTGTGACAAGAGACTCTAGACTCCCTTCCAAAAAGTGTATCATATTCCTTATATAGGTAGGTCAAATACACCCTATGATGAGCTATGGTCGTGCAAGGCATATTCTCCAATGATTGGGTGAAGGACGGAATAAATGAGCTGGACTTTAACTTTTTCTCGCTGGAGGAAGTTCGATCGATCGAACCTTAACTTAGATCGATCGAAGATGGGTTCGATCGATCGAACTGCATCTTGGATCGATCGAAGTGGTCTGACTCCTCCGGATAAGGACAAGGCTGAGATATTTCAAAGATATTTATGGGGAAAAGGACAAAAGTGGTTGGTAGGCGTACAGCTGTGGATAAGATCAATCATTTGAATAGGACAAAATAGGGTTCGATCGATCGAAGGTGATGTTGGATCGATCGAACTTGGAATTTCAGCAAAGGCCAAGGTTGGATCTATCGAGAAGTACTGTGATCGATCATAGATGTTCGATCGATCGAACTTTAAGTTGGATCGATCGAACTTTTCAGTTGCACAACTTTGATTCCTTTTTGCTCATTTCTTTCTCCACTTTGCTCCCTCATTTGGTTTATCTCAGGATTGCTTCAATTAAGCTCTTATTTGGCTGAGTTAGCTCAATTTTGGGATTAGTGCCTGAAAATATAAATAACACGTAATAAGTCTAAAACGGCAAAGTAAGATAGATAAAGGTACTAGAATGCTTAAGCTTAACGGGTTTAAATGCGCACTTTTCAGTGTTCATCAGTAGCCTGACAATGTCTCTCGCACCCGCCCACGGCACACCCGCCCACAAGGTCATCACAATCCACCACCCTTGGAGGCCAGACGTCCCCGTCGGCACACTTCCGGCTGGGTTAGGCTCTGATACCATTTGTAACGACCCACTCCACCACATGGTATGATATTATCCGCTTTGGGCCTGAACCCACGCGGTTTTACTCTTGGGTTTTATCCCAAAAGGCCTCATATCAATTAAAGGTGACACACTTACATATAAGCACTTCATCTTTCCTCTACCCAGGCGATGTGGGACTGTGCACCAGTAGCTCGCTAATGTGGGAGCCTAACAGTGTCTCTGGCACTTGCCCACGGCACACCTGCCCACAAGGTCATCATAGTCAAAAGGCCTCATACCAATTGAGGTGACACACTTACATATAAGCACTTCACCTTTCCTCTACCCAAGCAATGTGGGACTGTGCACCCGTAGCTCGCCAGTGTAGTCGCCTGATAGTGTCTCTTGCACCCGCCCACGGCACACCCTTCCACAAGGTCATCACAATCTACCCTCTTGGATGCCCGACGTCCCCGCCGGCACACTTCCGGCTGGGTCAGCCTCTGATACCATTTGTGACGACCCACTCCACCGCATAATATGATATTGTCCGCTTTGGGCCTAAACCCGCACGGTTTTGCTTTTGGGCTTCACCCCAGAAGGCCTCATCACCTACTACACTGTCAGGCTACCATACTAACGAGCTACAGGTACACAGTCCCACATCACCTGGGTAGAGGAAAGGTGAAGTACTTATATGTAAGTGTGTCACCTCCAATTGGTATGAGGCCTTTTGGGGTAAAGCCCAAGAGTAAAACCATGAGGGCTCAGGCCCAAAGCGGACAATATCATACCATTTGGTGGAGTGGGTCGTTACAAATGGTATCAGAGCCTGACCCAGCCGAAAGTGTGCCGATGGGGACGTCGGGCCTCGCCCGCGAGCGGGTGCGAGAGACACTGTCAGGCTACAACACTGGCAAACTACTGGTGCACAGTCCCATATCGCCTGGGTAAAGGAAAGGTGAGGTGCTTATATGTAAGCGTATCACCTCCAATTGGTATGAGGCCTTTAGGGGTAAAACCCAAGAGTAAAACAGTGCGGGCTCAGGCCCAAAGCGGACAGTATCATACCATGTGGTGGAGTGGGTCGTTACAGGAAGGAAAGTCCACATAGCAGTACCATTTCAGTCAACCAAAATGGGGCTTCGGTCGGCCGAAATGGCCTCTAATGCTGCCCCTGAATTGGTTGACCGAACCACCCCTCCGGTCGATCGAAATGGGAGATCCCGAGAGCATGAAAAGTGTCGGTCGACCGAAATGCCATTTTGGTCGACCTAAGTGGCTCTGATGAGTCATGGGCCTGATGCTGACAGCTACACTTGTGGAAATGAAGTTTAATTATATTAAGAACTCCGAAATTGATCTAAAATCTATCCCCAAGCATCATGAAATGAATTATACAATATTCATGGATACAAACATCATTAATGGATCACATTACAACAATATGTGCTTCATTTACATAAGTTTCATACATAGTCATGACAAAGGGTCCATGTTACATCAAAATAGTGTCATGCTCAAAGTTCTACTACAAAACCATGCTAAATAATTCTAGTACATCCCATATCATGGTGTTATACAAAAATAAGCTCAAGATTACAATATGCTTGCAAAATACACTTCAAGTCCTTTCATATTTGTGGTGGATTGGCATCCGCCAATTCTTTGCCGTGCCCTAAAAAAAGTTAATATAAGGGATGAGCAAATTGCTGAGTAGGTAGTGCTTAAGGCACACATCTTGAGTCCCTGTGAATCCAAATAATGAATAGAAGCTAGGTATTAGGGGTCATGCT